ATCCACACAGCTGTCACAGTTGTTGATATCCTTCGCCAGCCCCCTTTCCCTTGGTCTCCCCCTGTTGTTGTTGTAATAGACCCCGATATAGGTTTCTTTCTTTAAAACTTAAACAGTTGCAGCGATTTCCAAAGGCAAGTTGAGACCAAGTTTATGTAAAGACCAACAAAATCAAAATTGTCCTTTCCTTAACTATTGGTATGAGAGTAAGATAGTGGGTAAAAGAAATAGAAGCAGAACAAACACTACATGGTTGGTAGCCTGCTCTCAGACATAGAGCGCAGCCCGTGGTTGGATCTTTGCACACAGTGATAACATATTTTAAGCTGTACATGGCATTGTGCTCCACACACCTGTTCCATGACTCCTGTACATGTCAACATTATTTTCCTTTGACACAAACTGGTACAGCGCAGCACACACATTGGCTCACAAAGCTAACAGACCAGTAAATGTTTGACTTGCATATGAGCACCAGTGTGCTTAATTCTGTGTGTGTGCTCTAAGAGTTTATGGGCTGATGTCATAGTTACTGTATTTTGCGTTGCCCTCTAGGGTCCTGCAGAATTCACACCTCAGATTTTACGCCGTGTGAAAAAGTCCTCAGAGAGGACATCAAGGACAACTTAATTCATGGGCTAAACCAGTCTGTAATGGTGTTAAGATGTGCCAGGGATAGTGCTTTTCTTCTATTGTAAACCAAGGTAATTGCACTCGGAAAAGGAACGGATAAACAAATTAACTTGGACAATTTCCTGGAAAATTATTATAAAGGGGCAATTACTGAAAGGAGGAAGGGGCTAAATGGAGGAGATGCATTATGAAAAACAAAAATGTATTCATCATTAGTGCTTTTACTCTATGTGCCAGAACCTCAGTCACCATTGTTTGTTGTGTGGCTTTATGCACCAGCATATCAGATAATAAGTAAATAATATCTGTCGTGAATTTACCTTTACATGATTGATAGACATAAGGACATCTTCAACCCTTACCAGCTCTCATTTTTTTGTTTTTTCTTGGCTATATCCCAACAGTTATCTATGGTTATGAGCTCTTACAAGTTGCAGGTTTGAACAATTATGAGGAATTTCCTTTCCCATGGACACAATGGCACAATGTGAGGCCTTTGGACATCTGAAAGAAGCTATGAGTATTACTGCTGCTGCTTGAAGCTGAAAGGAGCTTGATAATGTCAGTTGGGCATCTCTGGAGGTGTCCAGGAAGTATCCAACAGGGAGGAGCCCCTAGGATAGACACAGAATATACTGGTCTGGGAACTGTTCAGGATCCCAGAGGAACAGCTGGAACCAGGTGTATAAAACTCTATAGATTCATGACTAAAACTGTGTGCACGCACTAAGACAGAAATGAGAATGGGCATTGTTTTCATCAGATTCGTAATACTGTATGTACGCCTGGTTCTGCTTTATAATATATCTCAGTCCTTGTGGAATTTGAGACGTGCAGAAGCTTCTTTTCCACTCCCACCTTTAGCCATAAACAGATGTGGACACTCCTTTAATCAGTCATTTGCATATAGGAATTCTCTCTGAACCATACGGTATTAGACATGGCAATGAAAGCAGTGCTACAGAAGAATGATTTCAAGTATGAAATCAAGACACTTGGAGAGATGGAGAAAAGAAAAGATTATTTGTTTGATGTTTCAATCCAGGGATCACAAACAGAAGAAGAGCTGAATAGCAAAAAAATAAATAACTGAGGCTACCATCCATCCGTACAGAGCAGAGGACCGAGGCTGAGGTAGAAAAGAAATGGTGGGATTGTAACTGAGAGGCAGAAAACTGCATGTGTGGACAAAGAGAGCATGAGGACAACAGGAAGACTGGCAACTGCTGTATCATAGTTTTAGGCAGCTTTACAGGGAATCAGAAGGCCCCCGAAACATTCTTTCTCATCTTATAGCCGCATTGTCAAGATCCTACAGTAATGCCAGAACAGCCATCCTTACGCACGTCTGTTATGCACAGCTACAGTACTTATAAAGCACTGTAATTTATTCACACACCTGTAAAGGCTTATTGTTAGGCTAATGATGTCTCAATCACCAGTTAATGAAAAGTAATTAATAACAGTGATATCCGAGCTTTACTGAATAATTTCAGTCTAAAATGAAAAATAAAAGGCGAAACAAATAAAAACAAAATTCATTAGACCAAAATGAATGTGGTGTTTAAAAATAAACTTTATGAACTAAAATGTATAGAAAAATAATAGAAAGCTAAAAATAAACTTTATGAACTAAAATGTATGGAAAAATAATGGAAGTTGTTTAAAGTTCATTGTGATTCTTCATTTTCACTTCACCATATCACTCCTACTCAAACTGTGTGTACTCTTTTTCTGAAGTATGCGTGAGGCACTCTCTGCTTAAACAGTTTGTGTAGGAAAAGGTGTATCATTTATGCACTTGGCCCCTGGTGTATGTGGCTTGGAAAAGACTTGTTGGCTACCTTGCCTACCATGATTGTGACTGTGGGGCAACTGTTGTTCAGTGGGTAGAGCAGTCGTCCCCCAACCGGAGGGTTGGAGGTTCGAATCACGGTGCCTGCAGTCCACATGGCAAGACACCGTTGTCCCCAAGTTGTCCCTGATGGTTAGAGCCATCGGTGTGGGTTGGTGCCACAGATGGATGGTTCTGTACCAGAAACAAATTCCTGGTATGTAACATACCTCGCCAAAAAAAGGTGATTATTATTATGATCCTACCTTGACCCTGACGTGGTGGAAAAGGAATGGATACTGTATAAGCAGCAGTAGACAATAATGAAACCCTACTGTTTCACTGTTACATCCCCTGGCAACCCACATCTAAGTTGTACTTAGAGTAAAGCAATATTATTTCATTCATCTAAATGAAACTATGCTGATCTTTCATCAATTGACTCAGCATTGCAATATCAAGGTAACTATAACAGATTAGTTAAAAGAGTGACACAAAGTTGCAGAGAGTTGCTGCGCAAAGGTCAAATTTCTTAGAGGCAAAATCCAATTTATCTAATGCCAGTTAGTGGTGTCTAGCTGGGCCTCTACAGTGTTAGCTATGTGTGTACAGGGAATGTCCGCATATTACTGAAAATCATCTGCCTTGCCAGCACTGCCTTGGTGGCCAAGCAAACACACACACTCTCAGTGTGTCAAGCTTCTCCCCGGACTGCTGTGGGAATTCAAGCAGTAATGTGTGGGGTCTACATGGGATGTGGCTAGTTGCACAAAAGTTGGCACACACCACCTGCCACAGCAGACAGGCCTGAGTTCAAATGCCTTTTTAGAAGCAGTTTGTAATTGGATCATTAGCTGGTGGTTGAAGGAGCCGTCTTTCCTAATAGAAAATATTCACGTTTATATCTTGTTAGGGAGCATTAAAAAGTTGTCCCAGCAACAATCCCAGTGGGCACCACAAACATTTAGCATCCAATTAATATCTAAATATGTGCCTTTTTAAAGGTCATAGCTGACCACATGTAAGGGCTGTGTGGGATACAGACAAAGCCTGACAGAAATGTGAAAGTGTTTTTTTTTTTCTTTCAACCCCCTGGGCTTCTTTGGCTTCTCAGAGAACCACTATGGCAAAATCTTTTGCTTTCTTATTATGTGAGCATGTAACCTCCCGTGATAGTGAAATGCAGTTCTTTTTCTACAGGCCAGTATTAAATGCCTACAGAGACGGCTCTCAACTAAGAACATGTTTTGCTGTGGTTATAAATCGCTGTCTTAACAATGATTAAGTGTGATTCTTGCTGTCTTATTAATGTGATTCAAGAACAAATCTTAATTTTTTTTTCAGTGTAGTACAATGTTTTAAATCACAATTCAATTCAGTAACTATTAGTGACAATCTGTAACAAAGCAGAGAGAAGAGACAATATACACAGTATACACCATCACGTTTTTGTTTTTATTGTTTGTTTCAATCCAGCATTTTAGGATATGCAGATAAATCTCACACTTGATGCCAGGTTGAATTGGGCCCGTAAGGTCTTTTCTTCAAGTGCCATTTGTCCACACTGACATTTTCAAATGCCAGATGTTGCATCTAAAAACACTGCTTTGTGAAATGGTTGGCAAAGCTTCACCTTGTTTGCCTTGCACTAACTGCTGCCTTTACTCATTGTACTTCAGTAATAAGGATGCTGTTTTTGAGTTATTTGAGTTAAGCTTTTTATAAAGGCTTACTGAGTCAAAGGGTCATATCAGTACAGGCAGTTGGAATTCCATGGTTTTGAAATCTTTGCTTGCGCTGCTTGTGGTGAGGTCGTTCATACGGGGGAGATTGAGTTAGGGTCACCATGGCTGAGGAATGGTTCTAGAGTGCCTCTTTGGTGGTTAGTTATTCATCAGGACCTTGTGGTCTGAGTCACGATGAGGCACAGTACACACACATTATTAGTTTGTACTCCAAAGTCCTCTGTTCCTCCGGCAAAACTCATGTCCTGTGATAAATTCACCATTTATA